ACCAGTAATGCATTGATTACGTTCGTTAAAATCTATGACACCACTACACACACGGGCAAAACGAAAGAGTTGGAATACATAAACACCGTATGAAGGAGCCAAAGGAGCCAAAGGAACATCGCCGTCTAAAAATGGAAATTTAGCAAAAGGGAATGAACAATCGTCTCTTTTGTCGTAAATTTTAGTATGACGTGTCTTTACTGAGTTTGGTCATAAACTGAGATTCATAGCAATACAGGAATGAATCTGCTATTAAAGGGGCACAGTAAGTGCCCATAGGATTACCTACTACTTGTCGATACACTTTATTGCCGAATCGTACATACATGTTGTCCAGGGGACAATTTAAAGCTTCAATTATATCTTCACATTTCCAGTAAGTGTATCTAGCATACTTTCCTTTTTCGTTACAGAAAAAGGCTTTAAACGAATTACAGCAAATACATTTGAAATGAAATTTTTCAAAAGACCATTTAATTAAATATGAAAACTTTTTCTTGATAAGATTGTTTAGACTTGTAGTGTATAGAGTAAAAAAATCATAACTGTCAACAGAATTAAAAGGACCATCAAAAGCATGCATTTTATCTAAAACCTCTAAAGAATTTTTAACACTCCAAAATGATTAATACCATTATGCTCATAAGCTTTATTACAAAAGTTAATAATAAGTTCTTTGATAGAAGTAAGGAGGGCAGTTAGAAGCACTGATAGATTAGTAGTAGAACACTTACTATATGCGGAGATGAATGTGACCTGTACGGAGTGCGAGGCTATACATAATCGCAAAAGAAAAAAATGTTTATTTTGATAAGAGTAAAAACAATAGCTTTAATAATAACAGTAGTCCACAGAAATTTAACAAAAGACACAAGCCCTGCTGCTATATATTGACATATTGAAATTGATAGTTCACTATGACAAAATAGAAATAATCTTTCTCCTAACCTTACCTTCAATTTTAACTCCTTATTTGGCTTTACTTTAGGTTCTGTTTGGTTTCTTCGTCAGTAGTATTAGGTTTTGTATTATGCCCCAAGATTCCCGACGATATATTACGTGTCGAAATGCACATCTGTTAAATTGTTGGATCAGATATTGTTCAAAATATGTGACAGACCTAACTCCTCCTCCTCCTCCTCCTCCTCAGCAGCAGCAGCAGCAGTTGCTGCTAAATCAGCGATATCAACAGCAGTGGCAGCTGAAGCAACGATATCAACAGCAGAAACAGCAGAAACAGCAAACATTAGCAGCAAGTTCAGGAAACGTGTATAGCGAATATACTTATTTTCAAAGAGTGCACATATTCCATATACGATGCACAAAACGTCCTAAGATAAAATTTATTGACAAAACATATTAGTTATATATAATTGTTCTGCCGTTCTGCATTATCTGTTATAAGCCGTCCATTGTACGACAGTCATGAATGCAAGCAATAGATAAGTGTAACATTAAGAGAAATATTTCTCATATTACACTACCAAATTAAATGGTTATATTATGCTTGTTCTCCAATCCTTATATTGTATCATTTCATTTAGATAAAACAACTCATCGATTATCTTGTAGTAGCTAGTGTCTTGAATGTACAATCTGATAAGGCTTTGCATGTCAGTCTAGAAGGGCACATTTAAATGCTTCCGTCCTGAATATGCATTTGATTTTCCGTTCTCAATTACAGCAAACCATGATCAGCATAAACACAAAGTTAAGACCTTGTTTTGAAAATACGAACTTATAACCATATCATTTGCACATTTACCCAACCTCATAATCCATGTGGCTGTCCCAAGTCAGCTTTAATGTTACGATTGTCTTCTGTACCTGTCTGTCATAATTGTTTTTCGTTGGTTGGATTTTACAAATTATGCCGTCAATTTTCTCGTTTGGAGTGTTTCACATTGCTTATGTCCAGATCTATAATAGCTGACTTTACAGTTTGTGTTTTTTTCATTGTTAAAGGCTGACATTGGCCTATCATTACTTTTATCTTCGTTTTTTTTTTTTTTTTCATCTCTATCGGATAGTTGTAGCATTTGCAATCAATCATATCACATTTTAATTTAATGCATGTGGAATATTTAATGAATATACGTATCTTTTTCCCTTATCTCACATACGACTACCAACCCTATGGTTTACATTTTTTGTTGAATCATGCTTTATAATTTTTTTTGTATCATGTTTTTGAAGCGTGTCGACCATGTCATAATATAGTTTCAATGCAGTCATACTGGTATCAGGGATATATAGTTTTTATCGGTTGTGATTATAATTTATTAAGTTACTAGCTTATTTAAACTGTAAGTAATTTTAGATATACTTTTTTTCTGAAAGCAATTTTGTTATCAATATTAGTACAAAATCATCAAAATAAAGGTCTACAACAGGTGTTACATTATTTGACTTAATCTTAAATACAATAGTTGAAACAAAACACTATAAATCACATGGTCTAAAAGCAATACTGTCTTTTTTAAAGGTACACAGATACGAATATTTTATTTTTAACAACCCACTGTATCCTTGTCTTTATCGTGGAACAATTATTTTTGTATCCGTTAATTTATGTTAAATGTAAACTAAATACACTAGTAGTGAGATGTTTTGTTATTTATTCTTTTTACAAATTTAAATATAACAAAGAATGCGGAACGACAAACCCAGTTTTCATACAAAAAAAAAAACAAAAAAAAAACATATGATTATCTGAAAGGTCATTCTTTCATCAACAAGGGAACTTGATACAGAAGAATTTAGTTACAACAATTTATATTTGCGTTTCATTATCTACCTTGCTTGTTAATAGGATTACAGATTGGACATATAATGCTTTTGCATCTTGTTTTATAGTCACTTTAAGGGTAAGTTATAATAAACTCGTGACATTTTTTATACATTAAATGATCTTAAAATGTACTGTACCAAGTCAGAAACATGTCAGTTGCTATAAACTAGTCCGTTTCTGTGTATGTTGAAATTTGTTTAATGTTGCAGTACAGTGTTTCTGTTGTTCTGTTGTTTTCCACTTAAAGTTGATTTTTCCCTTCGGTTTTAGTTTGTAACCCGGATTTGTTTTTGCTTAATCGATTTATTAAACAGCCTTTTACTAATGTTGCCTTTTTTTATTTGAAAGAAAAGGAAAACAATATAACAACATTTAGCAAACAGAACAGCCTGGATAATAAAAAAAAAACAACAATATAGATATAGAATGCCCGACGCAAATAATAGATATTTGCATTTACCATCTAAACATGATTAATTTTTGAATATATCATCACAATTTGAATTGAAAATTGTGTTTTACTTTGACTTATTAACAATAAATTCTTGATATTTTGCAGATAACATCATGATGGAATACAGTGTTTGTGTTTTTATTAAGTTGCTTATTTTCGTTTGCTTCATCAGTAGAGGTAAGGGACATGCTTGTAGTTAAATAGTCATTCACATAATACTATATAAATTATTCTTAAATAAACGAAAACAAAAACAATCACGCAATGCTTATTACAACAAATAATGAATACAAAGTGTAACAAGTTGAAAGGTGATCATTTGTACCTTATATACGTTTATATTGCTTAGAAAAAAGGGTTGAACATTTGTTGAACACAATGTTATATGGTAACATTCGTGTCGTACCTTATAACCTTTTTAGCTAAGTGTTGCAAAACAAGGTTGTCATTCAGAGATCAAACGAGACGACACGTGTGGTGTTCGATACAAAAACAAAATAATTGATACAATCAGTAAACACCGCTACTCAAGCTATAGTTTATACTTACCAAAAGATTGAATTTGCACGCTGAATATTAGATTTATGGTTCAAATCTGTATTTCAAAAAGCTTCTTTTTATAAATGTTTAAATGTAGCTGACATTGTTTGTATGATATCGCTACATAATGTGCGCGTTGGTCATAATTAAATATGTATAAAACAACGCTATTGATGGTTATATATATGTTTTTTTTTATTCATTGATTAAGGTTCGACAAAAATACTTTTCAAAAACATATGATCAATATTTACCAACTTCACTTATCAAGCGTTTTTATTCATTTATTAATATACAGTTTTTTTTTTTATAAAGGGATCGTATCTTTGAATGTATATTAAAACCATGCCAATTCAGTTATATATAATCGATTTTTAAAATGAAAGCTATATACATATATTTATTTATGCCGCTGATGGACATAAATGTCAGAAATCAAACATACATGTGAATCACTTAAACAAATGTTTTAAAGCCTTGATTTCGTCCCAACGTTTAATCTTTTAATATGGCTTCATTGAAACTGCTGTTAAAGTAAACACTTAATCTAGTTAGTGTTTTGTGTTTATATATAGTCGTATATGATTTATAGCAAAGTCATGACAGTTTCGTTCCTTTGTGTAATGATGCAATATGTAATGTGATATAATTTGTTTCTTTCTGAATAAACGTGCTATGGTTAGTTGATGTGTGTTTTATTTTGTTGGCTCTAATCAAATATACGTTTAGCGGTATTGGGAGGCATGTATTTGTCCCCGATGACGTAATATATAATAAGAAAAAAAAAAAGAAAACAGAGAAAATTTGCTTAAAAAAAATACCATGAATATGTCAAGGCCTCCGTGTAATTATTCTCTCAGACTCACGCGGGATTAAGCTCTGAATGTTACCATTGTAGATTATTCTGCAATTGATATAATAAATATAGAAATAATAAGGTAAAATACATAAATATTGAACATGAGAACATAATTTCCCGACAAATAACTTATTACACTACACGAAGCATCTGGAACGGGTAATCTCTATTTATTTAATGTGTTCTTTAAAGCTTAAGTAGATAATTCAGCTTTACTTCGTAAATAAAAACAAAAATATACAGCGACCAAAGCCAACACTATCTGGTGCTGGTTTTGGGGGGAAAAATGTAAGAAAGAAAACTTAGAGTATAATTATAATAGAATGTTTTGGCTTTTTTTCTTTAATTTCAGGGCTTCAAAACAAGATAATCTATTCTATTCATGGTTCAATTAAAGAAACAAACTTGCTCAATGGAGTAGTATCAACTTTAGTATCCAATCTGCAGAGTAATATATATTCCTTAGACTATGATTATAAAACTGGATATATTTTTTTCCCGAGGCATAATAAAGACGACATTTTGAGGTAATCAATCAAAGCATTTTCTTATAATCTTGAAATTGATATATACATGAGTATGTTGTATTTCAGTACTCCTGACTTTGGCTGGAATCATTTATCTATTTAAATACAATATCAGGAATCCCATTTTATCAATGGTTCAGCATTCTGGCAAAATGTTAAAAGATTGACTGAAAGTTATTATAGACGACAACTAATTGTATTTGGCTTTAATCATCTTACATTTAAAGGGAGGCGAAAGATATCAGAAGGACATTCAAACCCATAAGTCAAATAATAAACTGACAACGCCATGACTAAAAAAGAAAAAAAAAAGCTTCAAAGTGCAAAAAACACAACAAAAAAAACTAAAGACTGACCACCACGAACACCTAAATCTGGGGGTGATTTCAGGTGCTCCGGAAAGGTAAGTAGACACTGTTCCACATAAGACAACCGTCGTATTGCTCATATAAGTACAAATATTTGGTAATAAGGCTAATTCGGTAGTTCACATTCGGGAAGAGTTGACGGGATTGTAGTTACGACATTATGAACATCTATGAAACGGATATTCCATAACGATCAACCAACTTCTGATGGCTTCCTTAAAACTTACGAAGAGATTATTTTAACTTCACCACTTGGGACTGATGCTTTACTAGCTTCCTTGTGGACAACAACCCTCTATCAAGGAAATGGTGATAGGAAGTGCAAGCCCTGGAAAATCATATCAACTTGGAGATATGTATTTCGTATGCAGGCTGGAATATTGCTACATAGAAATAGTAACTACTGTGTGACTTTATAGTTTTGTGATATGCGTCGTTCTTATCACTAAAATCCTTTTCAACTGATTTAAGCAGTTGGTTCCTAACTTATGCTGTCACAATACTGTTCCAGCTTAGAGTGACAGTTACACACAAACAATCTTGTGCAACCTAATGTATTCATTGTGTGCCTGTTTTAAGTCGGGATCATTCAATGAAGTTCTGAGTTTTGTATTATGTTTATTGTTTTTCTTGTTTAAATTATTTCATATTTCGCCATATTGATGCATTTTAGCTACTTAACGATCATGGTTTCCATTATTGTTGAAGTCCATACAAAGACCTGATAAACCTTGAGTTACTTATAAATATATCCACGTCATTTATATTACCCCAAATTAGTTTATCTTACATAGTATAATATAATATACTGTAGTGATTGCTAATAAGAATGAAAACAATGGTCTTAAATTTTAATAACATATAATGGTTAAATCATAAAATATATTGGAGGAATCATTCTGATAGACTGAACGCCAATAACTTCAATTAAAAGTACATAAGGTACTATTAGGGATTTTCAAATATGAAAAGATTGGTTTGGGAGAGAGAAAACTACAATCAAAGAGAGAAGTTAACATACAAATGAAAGTTGGATATTTTCGTAGGACGAACCCTCATATCCTCAAAATACAGAGAGTGAAGACGAAACAAGTGTCACATTAATTTTGTTTTGTTTAGTTGATAATTAAACCTTTGCTAATCTATTCTCATCTTAATTGTTTAAATGGGAGCAAATAACCTTGGTTTCATTTTTCATGCTAACCACTTTGTCTTGATCAATGGGTTATGGTTTTGTTCAATATTTTCACCTCTGACAAATGTTTTGTATATATTTCGTTGGTTTCGTGTTTTCAATAATTTGCTGTGTTTCACGAAAGAAAATCCTGAAAAGCGCTTCGAACGCACGGAATGTATTTATTTCATTTTAGGAAGTGTGAAATTATACAAAAGTATTATTTACATTTCACAGGTTTCGTTATCCATCTGATACAGCTTATAGCACTAAATTGGTAATAAGTGCAAGGGAACCAATAGCTCTGGTTATTGACCCGCTATTGAATCATGTGTATTGGACAGAAATATACCAACAAAAGATCTATAGATGTAATTTTGATGGGACAAATAAGAACTTCATTCTGCAAGATGATCAACTATATGCTATTACATTAGATTACGTAAACAGGTTTGAATTAAAATTAATACGGCATTTGGGAATCTGGTTATAATAGGATAATAGAGAAAGCACAAAACCAGCTTATCTGTCTAAATTCGATTTGATTGATAAATTTAACAATACTTACTGTTATTTTGATGATATTTTCTCATAATAATCAAGAATACTCTTAATATACTGCCGAAATTCACCACAGCTAACTTACTTTAAATAGATCCAATATTAACAGCAATAACTGAACTTTTCTAGAGTTAGATATATATATCAGTTTTACACGAGAAGTCTTAACAAAAATTTACGACCAAAGGGACGATTGTTTATTTTTTTGGAGGTGATGCTCCTCTGGCACCGTCTCACGGTGTTTTTGTTGTTGTACAAGTTATCATTGTGTACAAATTCTAATTTGTATTTTTACTTTGTACAAATTGAAATTTTTACAAAAAAAGCTTGTACAAATTACAACGTGTACATATTTTGACTTACATTCACTTATAGGTTGCATTTCAGTAAATATAGACAATGCAATTTCCCATAGGAACTTCCTTTACGGCTAGAACTGTGCAACTTTTACTATGAAGTTTCGTAAAAAATAATGTCCTAAAATGGAAAGTTGATTTGCACTACTTTTTTATTCAAATGTAAATACACAGGGCTGTGCGTCATATTTTCGACATTTATATACCCCCAACCTCTAAGAGTTTAAACTTATACTAAAATTCTGCACTTCCCCTCACTTCACTTAAGATCTTTCTCAGAATTCAATTCCACCCCCTACTATGTGCATTTATACTGGTAACATTCCCGAGTTAAGATGAAACATAGGGATCATATCTGAGAACCAGTACGTAAACAAAACAAAATATCTATGAATTTTATATATCTCCCCAAAAGAGGCGTGATTTGTGAAACAGCTGTATAACGTGTACATTAATTCAAATTGTGGATTTTTTTATAAAAAAAGCTTTGATACACACTATAGATTTTTTATTAAATGACCGCACAAAAAACCTTATTTACCGAATACAAAAATATTTCTGCACCATTTGTTTGAGCGTGTGAGTGAATTATGGCATCGGGAATCGCACAAACTCATTTGCTTTTTACATTTACATTTTACATATTGAGAAGTGCTTCTCCCCCTTTGTATCTACATGAAAGAAAACCCTGACCATCAGTTTTTGAAAGCTTTTTAACTGCTTCACGTAGCAAAATTTTTAGCTCAGAAACCATTGCTGCGAATAAAGATGTGGCTTTAACAGCTTCAATTTGATTTCAGTTGAGGACCGATCATACTGAGGAATTGGTAAAATAACATTATCCCCCACAGCCAGCTCTGATAATTTCTGTTTCGTTTTCATGGTTAGATATTCGGCTTGGATCTGTTTGCCAGCCAGCTCACGGTTCTTGGCACGAATGATTGGTGATTCAACGTCAATATCATCCTAATTGTTACCAGAGCCAATTTCTATTATACTATCAGAATTGTCACTGGGGCCAATTTCTATTATACTATCAGAATTGTCACTGGGGCCAATTTCTATTATATTATCCGAATTGTCACTGGGGTCAATTTCTATTATGCTATCAGAATTGCCACTAAGGCCAACTTTCATTGTACTATCAGAATTAACTGGTATTCATGTATCAATAACATTTAATATTATATAAATATTTTGTAGTGTATATCTATGCTTTTTTTTTATAACAAAATACATACTATAAATTATTGTACAAGTTATAAGTGAATTTTAGTTGAATTGTGTTCAAATTGTAATTTGTACAGGCACTTGTTTACAAATTATAATTTGTACAAAGTCCAAATACAAATTATAATTTGTACAACTTTTTTGTACAAATTATAATTTGTACAAAATGATAACTTGTACACAACATTTATATATCACAACTCGTTCGCTATATTCGTGTCTGAATTGACGCTTTGAATTTGAATGAGTGTAATATATGTTTTACTAAAATTATTTAGTCAAGTATTTCGATACCACGAATCTTTTAAAACCTTTTTCTATATTCTTCCATAGAGACAAGAATTTGGTTTACAAGTTTGGCTGTTTTCGATATCATTAAATTTAATCAATAGTTGATATTAATGTTATACACAAATGCATGGAATTACACTCTGTCGATGACTGTCAATGCACAATGTCAAGGTTTCTATTAATGACGTTTTTACACTAAATCCATTGCGTGTTGGGTGTGTATTGATTGATATCTTAGTCTTAAATACATGATTCTTTTTATTAGTTGTTATTGGTTTCAGCTTTCAGTATCTTCGAGTATTATCAAGTCTTTACTTGGTGCCTTTTTTGTTTTGGGATGTATAGATACGCTGCCACATCCGGTCTGTGTTTTCGGGTTTTTTTTTTTTTTGTTTTTTTTTTTTGTATCTGATCTGATGAGGTGAGCCCTTTTCAACTGATTTTCAAAATTTGTTCTAATGTTGTTCTGTTTGTCCCAGGTTAAGGGAAGGATTTAGCGCCAGTAAACTAGTTCAACCCCGCAACATTCGTAATGTGCCTGTCCGAAGTCAAAAGCTTGTTGTTTAGTCGTTGTAATTGATTCATGTCTAATATTTGATTTTTGGAAATTGTTTTGTTATAAATTAGGCCGTTATAATTCTCAATTGGATTGTTTCATATGTTTTACATGTCAGAACCTTTTATAAAGTTAGGTTTTTATTCTCATTATTGAAGGCCGTATGGTTGTCTACAATTGCTAACATCCACTTCACTTGAACTTTGGTGGATATTTGTCTCATTGGCAATAATACATCATTTTCTTATTTCTATATTCTATGTTTGTAATGCCAGTCTGATTTACGAGCAAAAGGTCGGGCGGGATGACGTGGGTTCCCTTTTCATTTTATTTCATCTCATTACAATGTTAAAAGAAGATCGCAGAAACTTCAGTAAAACATGTGTAATATGTCGAAGAAATGCATATGTTACTACTTACTTGTTTACAAATTTTGCAAAGACTATTTACAATAGTGAACCTATATACATGTAGTAATTATGTTCAGTGTGTTAAGCTCTTGTCTCTCTATTTTGGCATTTTTTTGGGAACAATATTCAAAAGATAAGTAACATTATATACCTTTACGGAGTTATTTTCTTACATAACGTAAGGTCTTTTTTTTGGAAGAATCAACCCGGACGATACCAAGTTCCAATACTTCAAGACATAAAATAATGTCCTGTGTAAGGTCATTATTTTCCCTGATTAAAATGCAAACTATAATTAACTTATTTAATAAACATTTAAGTCGTTTGATAGTAATCGTGTGATGTTACCAATAAGGGTTTTACATTTTTACCATTCCATCATTTCTGGCTCGACAAAAACAATCATTTCCACTGTTTATTAGATGGAAATACCAACAAATCGTCGTTGACGCACATTTTAACTCCCGAAACAAATAATGTGAAGTTTTGTTAATCTATCGCTAAAATAAAGAGACATTATATGAGATGAATTTAATAATTCAATATTTTTCATAATACTTTCAAAACAAGCCAGATTTAACACATTAACATTCGTGTGTAGGATTTTGAAAATCCTATTGATTCACGTTGTATTGGAAATCATTCTTCGACCTTGGATATTCGTTTTTCGTGTTACTTGTACATGTATGTACATGTATCACAATTGCATATTTCCTTCGTGCCAGTTCATAACTTTTTACATTTATGTTTTTGTTTTACTCTATCAAATGATCAAATGACTAAATATTCTTATTTTCTTCAGAATAACAGCCGTGAACTATAGGGGGGATGCATAATGCATACTCCAGGTTATCAGTTTAAAAAAATGTAATGCTAGACAAAAGAGTGGCAAAATTTATTCTGAATAGTTTATTTAAAGTTGTTAAAAGAATAATCTGCTTTTTCGCGATAAAATTGTCAACAACTTACAAAGTGACTTGTATTTTTCATACACCGTGACAAATCATTTGTGTCTTGCTTCATACTGTAACAGTTATATTTTCATTGTAACTGGATAATGATTTCTAAAGTTTATATCTAAATCAATCAGTGATTTTATTAAACATTGTAAATGAGCCGTAAGGCGTATATAAACCTGAACGTATCCGAAAAGAATATACAACTTTAGTGTTTTCGGTAAAATAGTATTAAAATCCTGCAAATCAGTGCAGAAAATAATGTATTTTGACGATATATAAGTCAGATAATGCAGATTTTAAGTTTTTTTTTGTCGTATAACACACCTCTGGCTGTCAGGATTGCCCTTTTCATGTGATTAATCCTGACACCCCTCGGTGTGCTATACGACAAAAAAACTCCGCAAAACTATGCATTATCTATAACATATTATCTAACCAAATCTTTGGGACTTCACAGGAAATAGTCAACACTATTGAGGTTGTCATCCTTGCATTTTTCATTTTCCAATTTTATTTTTAAATGTTAGTGAATACTATTATTTATTTATCATAACAAGTCGTTTGGTATTGTTTCTTCTGTGAATATTATATTCTGAAATTTGAGGCAGCACCGATGATAAGTCCGGTAATGTCTGACGATACAGCAACTGTAACAACCATTATTATCATTTACTTAATTCCAATAGTGGTTGTTGTTACCACCATTTTTACTCAAGGGCATAAACATTCTTATTAACCATTTAATAACGTATAGGTAAGAATACATCGTTTGGATGCAGATTGTTGAAATCAACTGATAGTAAAGGGGTTTTAAATTGGTACTTATTTATTGAAAAGTAATAATGTCATGAAAATGTAATCAATTAGGTTCAGATATGGTATTCGTTTTAACGCCTCGGTGGTCTCGTGGTAGCGTGTTCGCCTCGAGTGCGGGAGGTTGTGGGCCGGGTCACACCAAAGACTTAAAAACTGATATTTGCTGCTCCTCCGCTAAGCACGCGGCATTAAGGAGTAAGCGCAAAGACTTGTCGGCTCGGAGTCAGAATAATGTGTCCGGGTAAGGTAACTTGTCTTCCTGCGGACTGTTACCTTGTCAACTAGCACGTTAAAATCTGGCTCAGCGTGTTGGTCTAGTAAAAAGTCATATTAAACTAACATGTTCTCGTTCTGAATATGTACATTATTTTGCTGCTGGACGTTAATCATCATCATCATCATCATCATCATCATCATCATTATCATCGTCATCGTCGTTATTCGTTTTATTGTCAATGCCGCATAATAAACATGACGGATTATCTCTGCGATATCATCGTAGGGTATTTAAGTGATATAAACTAAATAGTAACGAATAAGAAAGAAAAAAACATCGACGTAATAAACATTCTTTGAAAAGATGAAATGGTTTCAGGTGATTCAGTCTAAACGACAACATTTTCCCTTTAAGGAACATGTCTAAATATGATCTGAAGTCGACTTTCACCATTTATTCACAACTCTCTCACGTATGTTCTATTATGTGATTACAGCTGGCTGTACTATAGTACAAAGACATACAAAATAAGAAGATCAAGATTAAATGGTCCTGACAAACAGACCCTCAAAGAGTTGGTAGATGTAACTGGTTTGGGTATAGGTGTGTACACTCAATAGCTTATGTTAAAACAAAACCAGACACTATGGATATAAAATATGTGGTATTGATGATCAATAGCCTCCATGATGATAAAAGACTCTTGGAATTAGATTAAAGTGTTGACGATTTCATTTAATGTTTTTCTTGCATCCTTTTTAGAGGTTGCAGCGAGACGTTTTTCAATCAAATTTGCTATAATTCAATGACAAAAATATGTTTTATCCATAATTCGTAAGCCGTGAACAAGAAGTCAGTTCTTATGATATGATGTAGAAGTAGTGTTTTCGTTCTAAGTGGAAAGCTTATCAGAATCATATTTACAAATTAAGTAATATATAAAGGAAAAGCATGAACAGAACATACAACTATGTATTCTGAAAATGTAATGAAAGAAAAAAGTAACTGAATACGTTAACGTATTGGAATGTTCGTTCATACTTAGGAGAAACGTATCATAGATACGCTCAAATAAAAATAAAAATCTAAAAAGACCAGGTAAAGTACGGAGTCAAAGGGTATTTGAGACCTAAAGTTCTGAAAGGTTTGCTAAATCAACTAAAGTAGTATATTCAGAAAACCTCCAAACATGTCATTTCACGTTATTTCATTTCTTTTTAGACCGTGACATACACAGAAAAAGTAATTTTTCTATTTTTTGACTTGCCTAAGTGAAGTCTGTTAAATCCTTCTATCTGTTACAAAATGTAAAAAAAAAAAAACATTTGCCGTACGGTGACCCATAGATGCTAACTTCTTATGTTTAAAATTATATTCAAAAGAAAAGACCTATGAATATGTCAATCAGTCGAAAATGGTGTAATGTTTGTGTAAAATACCCCATAACAATTGCTGTTTCCATAACATGTTTCAAAATTAGAAATTTAGAGAAATGACATTATTGCCAATAAGATAACAATCCATTGAGTTAAACAAAGAATAACGTGAACAATAATGGGTGAACTATTGCCTATCAACCTTGTGGATACTAAGCAGTAAACTATAAAAGGGCCCCGCTTAAATAAATATGTGAGCAGTCAAAACAATAAAACATTAAGCAGACAGGTTCTTTTAATTCATATAACAATATTTTATTTTTTTTTAATAACAGCATGACCTTGGTCACGGTTGTTAACAGTAGCTTTTAACACCAATACTCAAACAAAGATGGTTGAACAAAAAGGTAAAACATGCTACACAGAGCAACAAGTGATCAGTATGCTGGAATTTCTCATTGACAACATATTTATTGAATTTGGAGGGATACTTTTTTCAACAAGTTGTCGGTATTCCTATGGGAACGAACAGTGCGCCTCTCCTTGCTAACCTCATCTCATTTTCATACGAGTTGCAGTTACTTCAGACACTTGTCAAAAACATGACAATCAAAGATGTCCGATCATTTAATTTCACATTTAGATATATTGATGATGTTTTTTCACTTAACAATCCAACTTTTCTGATTTGGAACCCATTAATATATCCCCCGGAACTTGAAATAAAACAAACAACAGACACGGCCTCCTCTACCTCAATTGTTAGACTTATACCTCGAATTTGACATAAGCGGTCATCTCAATAACAGAACCTATGACAAGCGAGTCGATTTGAATTGAATTTATAAACTTACTCCACCTTAGCAGCAACATACCAACTTCACCTGCAAATATATACATTTCCCTACTCATTCGGTATTCAAGAGCTTGACGCTGCTACTTAGACTTTACGTCACCAGTGTCTGAACAGAAAGGTGATGAACCAAGGTTATGTCAAAGAACGTCTCGTCCTCTTTCTAAAAAAATCACTGAAGGATACCAAGACCTTGTTGATAAATATTCTGTATTAACTTCACAAATAATATATGATAGTTTTGAAGTATAGATTTTAGGCACTGACGTTGTTTATCCTCTTAATTATATCATTGTACGTGTAAAGTTTCCCGTGTTTGTCCTTTTTTTTTGTAACCTTTATTGTTTAGTCAATTTTTATTATATACATATGGATCGGTACTCATGCATCCCGTCATTGTGTTATTGTGCTATGGTCAATTTTTAATTATTGTCTTTCGTTTTTGCTTATGTTCTTTGTCTATATGCCATTTTGTGATTCTTTGTTGAAACTGTTATTTGTTTAATTAGTTATTAAGATTGTATTACAGTGTTAATTGCTGTATCCCAATTTGTGACGTTTTTACCTATTATGGCCGTTTGTTTTAAACACACATTGTTGTTAATATAATGGAATTCAATGCGGCTGTCATATAAGTGAGCGATTTCGCTAGCTATAAAACCAGTTTAATCCCCCATTTTCTATATAAGGAAATGCCTGTACCAAGTCAGAAACATGACAGTTGTTTTCCGGTCGTAAGTTGTGTTTAAGCTTTTATGCTTTTGATTTTGCAATTCTAAAAAGGACTTTCTGTTTTGAAATTCGTATAGTTCGGTATTTTTATTATTTTACTTTTAGTAAGAACTGGTTTATATACAAAGAGTGTTTTAATCTACATTAAGGATTTCCATTGAATAACAATGCTATAATCATGATAATGATTATAATAATAATATTATTATTATTCATACAACCATTCTTCACATAATAAGAATAAACTATTAGTAATCACGAAAGGCTCGTGGTTATTCCGAGAAAACTGACACCCTTCGACAAGAAAATTACAAAACTTTTCAACCAACTTTTGTGTGTCGCGAGTGGTCAAAAATGACAACATTTGATTTGAACAACTAGTGAAAACTGTTTATACCTGCCAGACTTAATTTTAACTCGTGTTACTAAATTGTTGTTACAGGTCAGGCCTTGATAATGTTAATCAACAATTCCACTATTTGTATATTTATAACTAGTATTACTTGTATAATTATTTTGTTGTGCTAAGTATTCATTATCATTGATCAATGTAATGAATCGTGTGTCAATTGTGAGGCGATAATTGTGTTTATTTTATTTCAATATAGTCACGACATGAATGCCATGTGACACCATATTGAAATAAAACAACGACCAAAACTGATGTGAGTAAACCTAAGAACACTATTTATATTTCAGATAATAACAAAAAACGACTGTATTGGATGGAATATCAAAGAGGAGATTTGGAATCTTCTGATCTCAATGGAACAAATGCTTTCAAAGTAGTCAGCACGAATAAAACAAGAACAAACATAGGCGTTTATGTTTATGGTAGCAAAATATATTGCTCAAATGGTAATCAAATATTAAAAGTCACAGTATCACCAGTAACAATGGCAGAGGTCGTACATAGAGATACAGAGACAATTCATGGTGTACTTTTTTTATGATGGTAAGAATATACTTATTGGAAGAAAAGGGTAAAGATAAATTTTCTGACATATTCGTATACTGTTTATATGTTTCAGTCAATCAAGACAAAATCTCATTAACGTTACCAATTTTTCTGCACAAGATGCACATTTCCACAATACATGAGCTTCGTCGGATAGAAATCGACCTCATGCACATGATTATCAATACATCTATTAACTTATTTTGGGTTGAAAAAATATCTTTGCAAAATCTGTAACTGTTTGAAAATTAGGTCGATATAAGATTCCTACAAAATAGACCAAAAAGTATCTTTTATTTCGTATCTGACTGTTCCAAAATCATTCAAAGTATGATACATGTACATGAAAACGTGCATTAGTCGATTTCTATCCGATGCAGATCACATGTCTCTTCAGTGAATATATGGCCGAAATATTTGAAAATCAAAAACTTAATGAAAAAAAAAAAAAATGAAGAGCTTATAAACCAAAAAGAACATAAGGTAAAGCCAAAGCCAGGCAAGGAATCATAGCTTTGAATGAGAGGATTATCAGTCCCATAAACAAAATCGCCTTAAAACATGTGGGTATTTCTGAACGAATCAATTCATATATGATTGGCAATGTCTTTTAATTTGATTTTATAAAATTCAATGTGTGTAAATAATGACTTGTTAAGAAGAATGAATAAGTATGTACAAATGTATGTTAGTCTGTGAATGAGAAAATTGCATGCAGACACACAATGCATATTGCACAATAAGAATAAATTGTACACGTAATTTGATAAAAAAAATGTTTGCAATTAATGTTTGATTTATCGACCTAAATATATTATGCATATCATATATGTAATTTAAATAATTTCATCTGCAACTTGTATGTATCATTAATTAACGATGTCTAACCTTTTTGTATGTGTCTTCGTCTCAATATTGTGAAATAGTTATGTACGGTTTGTACGTGCATGCATCTATATAATCAACGTTATCTCGTAGCTATTAATTCGTATTTAATTAACAAAATTTACAGGTTAACTAACACTATTATCTAGCTTAATGAATGCAGTAACGGTTGTTTATGAATATGAGAGAGCAGTCTTTTATTGACGTTCCCATTTGGATTTCAGCTATGAGTAATCAATAATAAAAAAAAATAGACGAAAAAATAATACAAACGAATAAACTTATCCTACTTTGTAGTATTACAGAGGGACGCATATAGTTCGTTCTACCTCATAATCACGAGTTTTAAATTTTATTTACTAATAATGTTTCAATCGATACATATTTAAGTTTTATGTTAATACATGTTTGTAATACATTTAGATAAGATGGGCAAAAGATATCAGAGGGACATTAAAACTCAAAAATCGAAAATAAACTGACAACTCCATGGCTAAAAAAGAAAAATAACAAACACACAAAAAATAGTACACAAAACACAACATAGAAAACTAAAGACTAAGCAAAACGAACCCAACCAAAAAATAGGGGTAATCTTAGGTGATCCAGAAGGGTAGGCAGATCCTGCTCCATAATTGGCATCCGTCGTGTTGCTCATGTTAGGACAAACCCGATAACTAGTCTACTTCGATAGGTCATAGAAATATCGTGTTTGCCCCTTTTTCCATACAGATTTGAACTACATACATTCACACAACCTTATTTCATTCACTAAAACGACATAAGTGACATGTAACATTGTATATTATGATTAAGACGTTTTCTAAATACTTTATGACACGTTTACATCATGTCTATATTACACGATGTGTTATTGGTTTAGTTTGACTAATTTGATAATGTCATATTTGAAATAAACCTTGTACTCACTTTTGCTTTTTTTCCAATAATATTTTCATGAAAACAAAATATTCCTTCCATGAACAAATGATTTTCAAATAAATGACCATTATCTCATGAATTAATTGATATTTGATTAAACATGTCTCTAAATTTGCACATGTTAGTATGTTGAGTTGAATCATACATATGTTTTATATATCTAATTTTAACGAATTGATTCATGTTTTCCTTTTTCATTTAAAGAAATGTTTAAAACGTCTATATATGAGGTATTCACAAACATAACCTTAATTAATTCCACTGACATCCAAAGGTGAGTAATATTTTATGTTTTTTTTAATTCAAAACTTATTATAGAAACGTCTAAAAAAATGTTTTAAAGTACATCAGCACAAGCAAATGATTATAATTTTGAATAAAGAAATATTTTTTCATGTCACAATACACACATTTAAACTAAAAACACTATTACCCTATGATTGTTTTTCGCGCATATGCGTTGATATTGGCAAGTTTGGATCAACTGCATAACAGTTTGTTATCCGCAGACTAGACTTTACAAAGTACACCACATTACACAAACACTAGTCTACAAAAAAACAAAATACATAATAGAAGTAACAAAAAAAAAAAAAACAGAAAAAAAAACAGAGGATATAGGGTATTTAACGATGACAAAAAATCAGTACATATAAGTTTTTGTGATATTATATGGATATACAAAAGTGTTTACATGAACCTACTGTTTTACCTGTATTTTTAACATAGACATTTATTTTTTTCAGTCGAAGATTTTGCTTAACACATCTGACTTACAGTTGAGAAAGATTATGCAATATCTTGACTAACCATTCTTGTTCCTGTTGTATATATCCTACATTGTAAGTATTGTTATAATATATTTTAATGTTGTGTTCTACAGATATAATTTCAAAGTACATGTTCAAATTAGTTGTTGTGAAAGTGAAAATAGTAACTTCCGCTTTTGAAAATAATTTAAGTGTCAGATGATGGCTTACCCAATGCGTATGATTCATATAAGTTACATTACCATTAAAAAAAACTATTTTACTATACGCTGATTTATCAGGTCTTTAAAATGTTTGATAGGATAACTGAATCTATGCATCTTTAAACTCACAATCAATGTGCCTGCTTGCCATTTTTGAAACAACTTGTTTTCTTGTGTAAAAAATCCAACCCTGTCAAATATTAATTTCATCATTGAACACATTTATTGAAAAAGTCATGTGGAAAGTATCCCTTTACAATATAAATTCTCTATCTTAGTTTACTACGTCGATGAAATGCCAAACAAACGTACACATGACATCAAATAACGTCACCTAAAACCGAACACTTTGTCAGAAAAATAACGATTGAAATTACGCGTAATATAAGCCAGGTATAGTTAATGAGTTTTTACCTTGATTGCGGATGCTACAAACATATGTACATGTATAGTGAAGGTACATGGAAAACATGAACTTATATATTTGTCCGATGTCATATAACTGATTAATTATATGGAAGGCTACACGGTGACTACATTTTATTAACTTATATGCAATTTTGGCAGTGGTGGAGATTTGCTTTCCTGTAAATCATACAAAAACTTCATATTTTTATATATAGGAATTTTTATTTTAACTAAGAATAAACATGAAATAATTAGATACTTTTGGCCGCGTCAATTAAGTTTTCTTTGTCGTGCGTATTTGGTCTTTATGCGATATAATTATAAGTTTGTAAATGCCTTTAGTTTCTTCTAGTCTTTTGTGTTCTTTAAACATCTTCAACTTCATAAACATGTTAAGTCAGTCTAGTAAACAACATGACCCTGCCAAATTTAATTTGTTTTAAATGTTGATGCAATCTTGTGTACAGAAAATCACTTAACCAATCGACCAAGTCTTTATAAAACGTCATCAGTGAGCAGAAAGTTGATGAACCAGGAGTATGTCAAAGAACGTCTCGTCCTTTTTCTTAAACAAGACCTTGTTGATAAATATTCCTTATCAACTTCACAAATAGTACACGATGGTCTTGAAATATAGATTCTAGGTACTGACGTTGTTTATCATCTTTAAAACGTGTTATAGTATTCTTTCATTTGTCTTTGTAAACTATTACTTTTACTGTTTAGTCTGTTTTTGGTAATATCCATTTGACGTGGCTCTGTACGTATACATCACGTCACTGTGTTATTCTGCTATGTTAAATTTTTGTATTCTTGTATTTCGTTTTTACTAATGTGCTTTGTCTCTATGCCTTATTTTTTATGTTGACCTATTTGTTTGTTTTCATTGTGATTAAGATTATAACACAATTTGACTGCTGTACTCCTATTTTTGACATTTTTACCTATTATGTCTTTTTGTTTTCTTCACGCATCAATGTCAATATAATGGCATTTTTTGCTACTGTCATACAAGTGAGAGGTTTAGCTAGCTATAAAACCAGGTTTAATCCATCATTTTCTACACTAGAAAATGAATGTACCGAGTCATGAATATGACAGTTGTTATCATTCGTTTGATGTGTTTGAGCTTTTGAGTTGCCATTGCTTAGGGAATTTTCTGTTAGAATATCGGTATTTTGTTATTTTACTTTTTGCATAACAGAAAACATGTCAGGGTTTGTTCAATGGTCAAGACACACCCAATAAAGACAGAACACAAATTATCTGACGATATAGTTTTGAAATCGTTATGACAATGCTAAATATAAAAATCAACGTTTGTTAGTGCAACGCTAGACATAAAACCATAATTAAATAAAAAAACAAAACAAAACCCTAAACATTTTTGAATATTGCTTGTTCTCAGTCCTAGAGTATGTACTTTTTCAAATTTTTGTGTTAGGCCGTTTTCACATTGAGCTAAAGTTAACTAAACACTTAGAATAAACTTTATTACGTTTCCATTGATAAAATCCAATGTTTACATATAGTTTAAATCAGGTTTTGACTACATGCAGTCGATAGTCAATATAGGACTTGTGTATGTTAAGTATACATATAACTTGATATTAAGAACGTGGTTTTTACCATGAATATTTAAGGAGGTTACAATTATTGAAAGAAAAATGATTTCTAATATTTTGTTTCTTTTTTGCTAATGGAATATTCATTTTACATCTGAGCTGGGTCAATATATGAATTCACCTTATGCAAGCGCACATAAATATATATATATAAGACTTTGATAGATTTTGGAACATTCAAATACAAAATAAAAGATGAATTTTGGTCTGATTTGTACGGTCCTTATAACAACTCAATTTTCAAACAGTTCCAGATTATGCATACAGATTTTTTCAAACGGAAACACGATAACAGATGTATTGATAGCATGCATATTACTTATTGAAATAACGGCTTTATTATTTAGCACGAACATTTTTTCTTTTCTTTTTGTATACAACTATTTCTTGCAAAGTCCTGCATTTTTTAGGGAAACATATTTATTGTGAACCTGTTTTGGAAAATGTTATTTTTAACAGTTAGTACCAGTCCAGAATATTAATTTCCAAAATCACCACTAAGATTTTTGGGGTAATAGAAATATTTTCACTTAGGTCTTATTTACAATCGACAGTAAAACCCTTGTCAAAGTGTATCATCAGTTTGGCTGTGCGGGATGTACAAGTATGCAGCCACGACCTGTCAGAATGGAGACATTAAATCTGATAACTTGTGTAAAGAGAGATCAGAGCACGTTAAAAATCCTTGCAACAACACTTTCAAGAGTCTGTAGGTGACCTGTTGCAAGGGATATACTCTTTCCCTATCCAATATACTCTAATTTTCGAATGGCAGTCTAAATTTCTCTGAACTTCGTCCCGAGTGGCTTCTATTATAAGACCTACCTATTGTTTTGATTGTGAATTTGTTCATGTCCTGAACACGTATGAAATATTTGCAACTAGACATGAAGCAACCACCAATCAATCAATCCCTTATTTTCAAAATATTTTTTTCGCCTACAATTATGCTGTGTTATCCTGTTTAATTGTGATATCTTTAGAACACTCAAAGTTCTACAAATCAATATAACAATTTTTTGAAGGTATTAACCATTCATCTTATTGCGACAAACCATTATTTTTCATATTTATAAAAAACAAACAATTTTTCATCCATAACATAAAGGAACATTTTTTTAACTTCATGTTGATTACCCCGCCCTTCAGTTTCAATGGAATGAAACAATTTTCCTCACCCCTTCCTGAAACAAATGTATGTTTTCTGTAAAAAAAAATGGAATTTAAACAATTTATCTAACCACCATCCCCCCGAAACCCCCCTTCCCCCCCAAAAAAAGTTTATAATTAAAAACAATATGAATTGGTCTGCGCCTAACTGATGTAACAGTTTACAGCCCTATTCGTAAATTACATGTGCATATTGTTTACTGGTTGAACATTTACCATAAAGAGGTAATTAAAACCGATGTACAGATGAGAACAAATTTAATGTAAAACCAGTGGTCATTACTTGAAACTAATTGTAAAACATGTAGAGAATGTGGCGTTTGGTTTGTATATGATCTTAGTTGGTGTATTTTGAGTCCGAATCTTATATTTAGTTTAATCTCTATGTTAAAATCTAAATCACTTGTGACCTACAATTCTTGCCAAGTATTGTCATAATATTTGTCCTCCAACTAAACTAAAATTACATAGAATATATACTTTGATCATTCGTGAGTGTGAAATGTTTTGTCGTGAACTCATGTCAGCCTTCTATTCATTAAGTTGAATATATGATGATTATGTTATAGTTTTTTCTTCTGTATTCAGACAAACATATGATTAAAATTAGTTTCATGTTTTATTTTTAATTATTAAAAAATTTTAACAGCAGTATTTCTATACGTGTGTTGTTTGGTCAGATTGTTCATAAATAAATATAAGAAATTGTATGATTATTATGATGATTGGCATTTAGTTGAAGCTTTATATTCCTCCGATATTAGCAAATATAAGATATCAAAATCATCATTTGAAAAAACATACATTAAGGAAACAAAGGAAAAACTCTTTCCTCATATTTATGTTTATGTTTTACAGATATGTCGGCAGTGAAAATAATTGGTCGTTATTACTCTTCCTGAACTTAAAAATGAAAAATGGTACGATAGAAGGACGTTGGAGTTTGTAATGGAACACACTGCATGTCGGTTAGACCGCGACGGAGCCCAACTATGGAGTGATATCGTACAGTAATTCTAACTTTCATCAAAAGAATGATTACGACGACTTTCATTAATTTTACTGAAACATTTAAAGGAATAAAAAAAGATAATGAGCATGCAAGAATTAGGACCACAGAACATCTCCAATACACACTAGTGACTCACAGTCGGACAATCGAGTGAATGTTACAAGGAATATGATGTTAATTATAAATATATAAAACATGGGACATTCGAATCGGTAAATTGTGATTACATATTAAAGCATTATCCATACTGCCGACGTATTCGGGACAATGGTATCAATAGACCAAAGCGAAATATATGTCAACTTGTGTTGAAAATAGTTCTAAAATAAACTCGAACTGATTTAACTGGCAAATATGTATGATAATCAAAAGCAAAAAAACGTCTACCGTATTCAAATAAAAAAGGCGATTTGGTAGTTGAACCAAGATGTGAACTAAAGTACATATGCATACACCAATCAAGATGCATAAATGACAGACGTATAAATGAGTGGTTAAGTTAGATTCTTAAGAGCTTTCATTGAGGGATTTATAAAATGTTGGTGTTTGAGTGAATGTATTCTGAGATGCATTATACACATAACATTATTTACACGGGTAAAAGCGGGAAGTTTAAATTGAGAATAGCTAATGCCCATGCTCCTTACAGTGGACAATACGTCAGAATGTGCATGCATTTAACAAAATGTGTATGATGCCGTGATGCAATTATATTACACCATCCAAAATATATTGCAGCTTATATAATATATTTTGTTGCATCATTTATTGACAGGGGATTCATAAACGCAATACTTTGAATTCGGTAAATAAGTTCGCAAAACAGTCAATGCATACTGTTTTTTTTTTGGCTTACATGTTCGATTTTCAATAAATTATTAAAGTTCACAAAAAGTCATGTGTTAAAACAATCACAAAACGTTGAAAGCTATTACGTAAACATATAAGCATTTAATGCAAAATATATTGATTGTCTTTTAGGCATAATAAATAAACAAATATCAATCATGAATTGAAAGGTGCATTATTATAGATACACGGTACCCTGAATAACATCGTCATTCATAGTAAGTGAGGAAACTCCCTTTATATTTCGAGAAAGAGGTTGTCAAACTATCTACAACCGAATATACATTTCTGTTGTTGGAGCAAGATAGTACAGATTCTGGAAGATAATGAATATTATTTGCGACTGTTAGTTTCGATGCTTGATGAATTTTTTTGTTTCAAAAAGCGAGTACGAATTTTCAATTCTAAATACTGTCAAATCAAAATCTTACGAAATCTATCACAAAATAAACTCAATTTTTCATGTTGTTCTTTTAACCCGCTTTTTGATGGGGTTAGTGTTGTCTTTAGTTTACTATGTTGTGTTTTGTGTTCTGTTGTGTGTCTTTTTTTGTCTTTTGGGTTTTTTTTTTTGCCATGTCTTTGTCAATTTATTTTCAACTTTTGAGTTTTTTTCCCTTTGGTATTTTTTGCCTCTTTTCTCAAATCATATAAGGATTATTTACTCCTGAGCATTGAATGTTACACACAATAACCTATTCTGTATAATGCTTAGGGTATTACGAAGAAAAAGTCTCCACAATTCCCGCTTTACTTTAACTCTTCTTACATTTAAAACGAAACCAACCCCATGTCCGAGTGCAATCCCATACTTTAAGGAAACTCGAACAGTCTTCAAAGACAAGTCTGTAGATTTAATTTATAAAGTTCTACAGACAGTCTCGGATGCATTATTTAATGGATTAAATAAATGTATTTCAGACACACGCAGACTGTGATTGAACATGTTGAACTATATATTTTGTCTAATATCAGAACCTGGACATTTTACTTAGGGCAGCTATATTAAATGTAAAATCAGATTGAAAAAGCTGGATCAAAAATAAGCAAAAAAGAACGAGAAAGTTACACACAAAGTGTAAGAGACTAGTAGTTCGGAACGTTTAATTCATTATTTTAAATTGTATTCCATTGCACCATACTGAACCATTTGTTAATACAGCTGGAGAGGTCTGACCTTTCTTAATCATTTAGCAGTTATATAAGCGCTTAGTGATACACTATAAAGTGTTAATGTTTACACTATGAAGTTGATGGCAACATTTTGTCGTATCATGAATATATAATCAAGTTGCAAAACCTTTTCCTTCAGAATCAATCACATAATAAGTAACTCTGATTGTCTGTTCCTTCCCGTATATAGTGGAATAACTTTTATGTTCAAGTTAATTATCAATAAAAACTGGGAAAAGCAGCATACTGTTATAGAACACATACAGTTGATACATAACAAATTATCGGTGTTTACATGTTTCTTTTTTTATCTAAAAAAAAAAGGGTACGCGAGAATTAAGTGCAATTAATAAATTTTGAAAGGAAATTTTGCAGTATACTATGAGCTTAAATATATGTGTATCAGTCCGACATCATTGCTTGTGTTTCGTACTGTTAGTTCCCATGCTTATCATCAAAATAATAGCAATTGTTTTGAATTTCCACCAGAGATTGATCTGGATCTTTCATTCCTGTAATTTTCAAACAACGCTATACTTCTAAGACTGTCAAATGCTCATAAGGGTGTGAAATAAAAATAGTTGAAGTAGAGTTTCACTCATAACACCTGTGTATTCTAGTTTGTCTTGTAATAGCTTTGTAGAAAACCCTTATATCATTAATTTGCTTTACGTCAGTTCAACAACTCTCCCCAGTCGATTGTATCATCTTGCAAATTGGCGACGATGGCCATTCGTGTTCACAGTGTTTTCGCTTATATAAACAAGAGGGCTATAACTGTTAGAGCATAATAAGGTGCTACATTATAGACACTAGAGAATAATAGGGTACTGCATTATAAAGAGTAGAGAGTAGTGGGATCTTACAATATAAAGAATTGAGAATAATGAGGTGCTACATATGTACACTATAGATACCAGAGAATACTGGGGTGCAACACATGTACACTGTAGAGAATAATGGATTGCTACATTATAAAGAATAGAAGACAATATAATGGTACACTAAAGAGAATAGAGATTAATAAGGTGCTTCACTACACAGAATAGAAAATAATAGAGTGGTATATTATAAAGAATAGAGTGTAATTGGATGCTACACTATAAATGATAGAGCATACTACGGTGTTACATTATAGAGAATAGAGAATAATTTGTTGCTACATTATAAAGAATAGAGAACAATGGGGTTGTACACTATAGAGAATAGAGAATAATTGGGGTGCTACATTATAAGGAATAGAGAACAATGGGGTTGTACACCATAGATATTGAGAATAATTGGGTGCTACATTATAAGGAATAGAGAACAATGGGGTTGTACACTATAGAGAATAGAGAATAATTGGGTGCTACATTATAAGGAATAGAGAACAATGGGGTTGTACACTATAGAGAATAGAGAATAATTGGGTGCTACATTATAAGGAATAGAGAACAATGGGGTTGTATACTATAGAGAATAGAGCATAATGGGTGCTACATTATAAAGAATAGAGAACAATGGGGTTGTACACTATAGAGAATAGAGAATAATTGGGTGCTACATTATAAGGAATAGAGAACAATGGGGTTGTACACTATAGAAAATAGGGAATAATGGGTGCTACATTATAAAGAATAGAGAACAATGGGGTTGTATACTATAGAGAATAGGGAATAATAGGTGCTACATTATAAGGAATAGAGAACAATGGGGTTGTACACTATAGAGAATAGAGAATAATTGGGTGCTACATTATAAGAAATAAAGAACAATGGGGTTGTACACTATAGAGAATAAAGAATAATTGGGTGCTACATTATAAAGAATAGAGAACAATGGGGTTGTACACTATAGAGAATAGTGAATAATGGGTGCTACATTATAAAGAATAGAGAATAATGGGGTTGTACACTATAGAGAATAGAGAATAATTGGGTGCTACATTATAAGAAATAAAGAACAATGGGGTTGTACACTATAGAGAATAAAGAATAATTGGGTGCTACATTATAAAGAATAGAGAACAATGGGGTTGTACACTATAGAGAATAGTGAATAATGGGTGCTACATTATAAAGAATAGAGAACAATGGGGTTGTACACTATAGAGAATTGAGAATAATTGGGTGCTACATTATAAGGAATAGAGAACAATGGGGTTGTACACTATAGAGAATAAAGAATAATTGGGTGCTACATTATAAAGAATAGAGAACAATGGGGTTGTACACTATAGAGAATAAAGAATAATTGGGTGCTACATTATAAAGAATAGAGAACAATGGGGTTGTATACTATACAGAATAGGGAATAATGGGTGCTACATTATAAGGAATAGAGAACAATTGGGTTGTACACTATAGAGAATTGAGAATAATTGGGTGCTACATTATAAAGAATAGAGAACAATGGGGTTGTATACTATAGAGAATAGAGAATAATTGGGTGCTACATTATAAAGAATAGAGAATAATGGGGTTGTATACTATAGAGAATAGAGAATAATTGGGTGCTACATTATAAGGAATAGAGAACAATGTGGTTGTACACTATAGAAAATAGGGAATAATGGGTGCTACATTATAAGGAATAGAGAACAATGTGGTTTTACACTATATAGAATAGGGAATAATGGGTGCTACATTATAAAGAATAGATAATTACGGAGTTGTACACTATAGAGAATAGGGAATAATGGGTGCTACATTATAAAGAATAGAGAACAATGAGGTTGTATACTATAGAGAATATGGAATAATGGGTGCTACACTATAAGAAATAGAGAACAATGGGGTTGTATACTATAGAGAATAGGGAATAATGGGTGCTACATTATAAAGAATAGAGAATAATGGGGTTGTATACTATAGAGAATAGGGAATAATGGGTGCTACATTATAAAGAATAGAGAATAATGGGGTTGTATACTATAGAGAATAGGGAATAATGGGTGCTACATTATAAAGAATAGAGAACAATGGGGTTGTATACTATAGAGAATAGGGAATAATGGGTGCTACATTATAAAGAATAGAGAATAATGGGGTTGTATACTATAGAGAATAGGGAATAATTGGGTGCTATATTATAAGGAATAGAGAACAATGTGGTTTTACACTATATAGAATAGGGAATAATGGGTGCTACATTATAAAGAATAGATAATTACGGAGTTGTACACTATAGAGAATAGGGAATAATGGGTGCTACATTATAAAGAATAGAGAACAATGAGGTTGTATACTATAGAGAATATGGAATAATGGGTGCTACATTATAAGGAATAGAGAACAATGGGGTTGTATAATATAAAAATGAGAATAACAGGGTGCTATAGTATAAAGAATAGCGAATAATTGGTTGGTACGATAAAAAAAAACTAAGAATAATGGACCAAAAAAATAGGAAAAGAGAAATATGGAATGAAATATTTTAAGTTACACAAATGAAGACATCCAGACCATTTTTTCTTGTCGTAAGATGCAACATTTGGTTCTTCTTGTATTACTTCAATCATCATCCCATTACTAGTTGATTTACTGCTAAAGTTTTCCATAGTTTCTAGTCTTTATTGGTGTCGTGAGTTATAATTTATCTTCTCAACTATATATTAAAATTGAGAATGGAAATGGGGAATGTGTCAAAGAGACAACAACCCGACCATAGTACAGACAACAGCAGAAGGTCACCAACAGGTCTTCAATGCAGCGATAAATTCCCGCACCCGGGGGCGTCCTTCAGCTGGCCCCTAAACAAATATATATACTAGTTCAGTGATAATGAACGCCATACTAAACTCCAAATTGTACACAAGAAACTAAAATTAAAAATAATACAAGACTAACAAAGGCTAGACGCTCCTGACTTGGGACAGGCGCAAAAATGCGGCGGGGTTAAACATGAATATTTGTGTGACATCTGTTATACAAAGGTCATACAAATTCGTGGTTTTCAATGGATAGTACAGCAAAGATAAAATGTTTTGGCATCTTCAAGTGAGAATGACTTTTATTTCATGAATAACAACCCAACAGCATTTACAAAGGATGTTTGCATATTATTCAAGACAATCTCTTTATGATGACTACCAAGGGACATTACTCTTTTGACCTTGAGAAGATAAAAGCCAATCCTCGATTAATATTGTTAAAAAGATGTTGATCAATGTAATGCCTGATTTTCTCTTAATCTACGATTGTAATAATAAAGGTAAAAAACACAAGCAAATAGTACAAATCTCCATTTAAAGGCAATAGTTAAAATTAAAAGAGGTCGACTGACGATTTTGGTCTACTGACTTTGTGTACATGTACATTTTCCATCGTTCATACTTTTGGCTGTTACATCATCTGTCAATCTACTGTATGTTTTGTCAAGAACGCACATTTGGTCAAAATTTTAAATTTCGGTCATTTGAATTTGTTTGCAGATATCAACTAGCGGATCATAGTTTGTTCTTATAAATAATAGTTCCCTTTCTCTATAACAGCTTTCACGAATATATCCAAAAGCGCAAACAATAGATTAACATGTCATTGAAGGATAAAGACTCCTATGATGTGTCGACTAACAGCTTCAGCATTCTGATTTATTTGTAGATATTGCCAAGATGATTTTGTCTGCCTTTTAAAGTTTCTCTTTGAGGTCTAAAAAATGTAAAGTTTTAATCAAAAGAAAAATTGCAGAACATTATTTAAAATCGATATCAAATTAAAAAAAAACTCGTTTTGAGAGTCGACTAATTATATCGGATGGTTATATATATAGGACAAAAACTCACTAACATGAATGGACAATAAACAAAAGATGAAAATATTATTGAGTTGATGACATGTGGGGTAGTACTTGAAATAAAACATAGCTTAATTTTCAAATTTTGTAGAAGTTAAAACCAATTTTTAGCAATATTTTGTACATGTTACAACATGTACGAAGTACTTTTGTACATGTTATAACTTGTATTTTTGCATTGTACAAATTATAACAGGTACAATATTTCTGTACACATTATAACATGTACAAAATCGCAACTTGTACATGACATGTATATAACTGTGTAACTCTATTCTTAAGCTTACCAATAATGGGTTTGTAAAAAGGTCTCCCTATCTTTTAAAGGTATCAAGTTTATAGACAAAAACACAAATAAAAATCGTCAATCAAGTGCAACATTATCTTCAGTAGTCAACAGACCATTTCGACCCTGGTAGTTAGTCGCATATCTTTTCTTGTTGATTCAATTCCATCAAACGAATCTCTCTATTTATCATAGTTTTCACAATAATTTTCAAAACACTAGGCAGTGCAAAGAGATAAGAAATGCTGACACTGAACCAGGTGAGCTGATACATTGCAATACGCTTAGTTATATTTATCTAGTATTCATTTAAATCCGTTATGATGTAAAACACTGATATAAATTGTTTTTGCATGTCATAAACCTTCCCCTTTTAAATGACAACGACATAGATGCTTTCACATCATTTCTATAGTATATAGAGGTGCGACAAATGATGTATATCTGTATCAGTTTAAACCACACTAATTTAAAATGAAGGTCGCTGCTCTTTGTTTTGTTTTTTTATTGTAGATATTCGGAATACTCTGGTTTTATCCATGAAGTGCAATTACAAATTTTGCCCGCTTAACCCTTCTTTTGTTTTCATATTTCAATAACATAAAGTTTAAAAAAGTCTTTTTCGAAAATCTCAAATAATCCTTGTTTTTATTTTTTTTTTTTTTATTGTTTTTGAAAAAAAAAATGAATGGTGCGAATGTTAAGTATACGAACATTCTAGAGAAAACCAGTTCCCGCCAAATGTTCAATGGCTTCTATCTCAAAAACAAGGACACAGATGCTTGTCTGTTTTTTTAGTTTCGTTATTTATGTACTATCAATGTATAACAATATTTTAAAAATCTTTTTATTTTAAAACGCAGTAGTGAACTTCCTTAACATGCCATTATTCAACTGACAAAAACATGATCATATCTTTGTCCTGTGTGTTCAAAGACATAGACCAGAATATTACATTACAGTAAGTAGGTGTAACATCCAAATTCACTTTGTTTATGAGACTAAGATACTAGATTTAAAATGCTTTTCGTTTTTGTAAAGACAAAAATGCTTTGTTCCTTCTTTTCTTGTATAATAACAAGTACGCTCACTGCATGTAACGTGATTAAAGGATATGAGCTAAACTGTGTTCAAATTACTTCTATTAACAAAAGCAGTTTGAAATTTCGTAATTAAGGGAGAAATTCGCAAACAATCTGGCATGTTCAACGTATTGTATTATTTTAAGTATATATATTATACAATTATAGCCTTTGTAGGAGGTCGATACAAGGATATATAGACCTGAAAGAAGTATATTGACTGAGGACGAAGTCCGAGGTCGATATACTTCTTTGGGTCGATATATCCTGTATTGACCTCATAAATAGGCTATAATTGTTATATTATTAATTTCCGACCATATTTGTATCAAAATCGTCATTTGATTTTGTTGTAATTTTATAGATAGCATATTGTCTCCTAGACAATAACAACAGATTAGTTGTTATTTCATTTACTTTTTTGATATTTTTTTTTACATGTTATGTATTTGAAGATTTTTTTTCTTCAAATAACCGATCATAGATATTTTTTTATAAAGCTTTTAACAATATCATGAAATTCATTACATGACGTCACAAAGTATATCGGTTTTTAGATATTCTAAAAATAACCGTGCAATATGCTTTTTGCTATCCGCCGTTTTCTCTCTACCTTCGAAAATATAGTTTAACATGTGACTATCCCTATCAAACAAGAAAAAAAAAAACAGTTAAAAGAAACAAAAAGTGATTTCTGATCATAAAGGACACAGACAAAAATAGCGGGAATTCAATTTGATAAAAAAAAAAATAAAATAAATTATTACTTTCAGCTTACCAAAATGATTATAAATGTGTCATTATAAAATTATATTTATCCAGAAAGAAATATATTATAGAACAGTAATTTTTATCACAGTGTTGATTGCAGCCAGTCTATTTTTGACATGTTTACCTATTATGTCTGTTTGTTTTGTTTACACATTGTTTTAATTATAATGGAATTGAATGCGAATGTCGTACAACTGAGAGGTTTAGCTAAATATATAGTCAAGTTTAATCCTCCATTTTCTACATAATGAAAATGTATGTACCAAGTTAGGAATATGACAGTTGTCTTAACATTCGTTTGATGTGTTTGAGCTTCTAATTTTTCATTTTGATAAGGTATATTTTCTGTACTTTTCATTTATTGCGAGGTATATATGATCGCTTGATTGATTGATAGATTGTTGGTATTAAACTCTACTTTTAGAACCATTGACTATACCGTGAAGCCAGTTTGTATTGACGCGGAAACCAGAGTGTTCGCACGGAACCGCTTGTTTTGGCCACAATCAAGAATTTTTTTTTTATTTTTAATTTGCAAAACGCTTTGTTGATTTTAACCTGAACGCAATTTTTCTCTGCTAGATTATAAATGTTGATACAAAAAAAAATCATATTTGTTTTGCAAAAATTAAGAAGTAATTCAATTCAAGTAACCTCGTCTTTATTTCTGATGTGTGTTGCTTGAAACTAAATACGATATCTTGTATGGCAGCATATGGTTCGGCTCCTACTATATAATTTGAAAAGGAAAATAAAAAAGTCATATATTAGCGTGTTTGATCAATAAGAATGAATACCTGAATGTGTTAAAAAGGAATAGAAGAAATGATTAATTAATGTTTGCTGAACGTCCAGGGATAAATGTATTATGGATGTGCAGGATAAGAATAAATTAAGAATACATGAAATATATCAAAAGGAATAAAGGTAAGGTAATTTCAATTTTCAATCTTCCTTTTATGAACTTGTCATGTGACACAATAGCCCTCAAAGATTGGTCGTGTGTTATATTTGTTTCCTTTTTTTTATTTATACAGTTTTCGTAAATAGTTATAGCAATCATATGTTTTGGACACAATTATATATGTTTATAATACATGACTATACGTGAAGCAAAAACACCTATCCCATACCGCCCCATTTAAATAAAACACTTTCAGAACTACTGAACTACATCGATATTCGTCAGACAATAATGTTGATGCAGACAAAGAACACACTAACATTTCGTAGTTTCGAAATATAAATGTATATGATTAAACATATCTTTTGAAGCACAAATCAAAGGAATACAAGCTACTTGAAGTTTGATCGGGTAAGTTACCTTACACAGTTTCGCCTCGGTTGACAATGTTCTTTCTATGACTTTAGGTATATAAAAACGTTCTATGATTTCATTTACATAACAGCATTCTATAACTTGAAGTAAATAACGACGTTCTATATATAAAGTGTCCTATATATACCAAAGTTCAATGATTTCAAGTTGATAACAGCGTTTAGTGAATTCATGTACATAACAACATTACAGTCATTAAGAGAAGGTAAAATAAGTGTAGCAAGATTTATTTTTGTTTGACAGTCAATGAAAATTGCTACATTGCACATGTTACATGGCCGAGAAAAAAACTCGAACAAAACCATCCATTTTTGGGGTTACTGTCATCCTGAGTAAACAGAAAATGGAAGGTCGTTCATTTTTGCGTGTCTTATAATTCGAGAAATCACAAGAAATGTCTTGGTTAGAATGATAGCAAATTACGGAGTAAGCTCCCCTTTATTGGTATGTTTTAGTGCACTTCAATCGTTTTATATCGTGAAATACCACAACTTGAAAACAAATGTTATATTTGTGCATTACTACACATTTTGAACTGAAGTTTATGTAAGTTTAGTGAGTTTTTGTTTGTCATGTTTTCACCACTCAGTTTTTTTGGGGGGCAGATTGGAACTTGAGATTCAAAATAATTCTCTGGCGTAAGAGATTGGACAATAAAATACTTCTCTAAGACATGTGCAAGAGCTTCCTTAGTATGCGTGTTGTTTAATGGTCTGCGAAAGGCTCTGTTATTGCTAGTTTGGTATAATTAAACATACGTGACCATTGTAAGCCTTGCATATCCAAGATTGTCACCCCTTATATTTTTGTTCAACTCGGGATCCGTCGTCAGAGAAATAATCTTTTACGATTGATAATTCTGATATTTACCCTTTCTTCGATCCATATTTGTATATACTCAAAGAAAAATAACAACAACTTCAACATCCAACTTTTTGAGATTTTATATTTCACTAAATACATATTTGTATGCATACCCAATGAATGTGTGTTGACCCAGTTCGAAGTCAAAATTATTTAATGGGTCGATAAGAAAATGTATTGACTGAAAGGAAAAGGATTCGATTGTTTCATTTTAATATCATATTATGAAAAAGTTGTAACTCGATTTTCTTATACCTTATCTGGTGGACTATTAGTCCCCGAGGATATCATCAGCTCAGTAGTACTGACATAATTTATAGCAAACTTTTCTAAAAGTCTCTGTTTATTAATTTTGAAATTATAAATAATTATATAAGGTTTCAACTCCCTCAGGCAAAGTTGACCTTAAATGGATATGGCAATTTTTTAGGTATTTTTCTGTCATATAGATCTTCAACAATTTCGGTTCTTATACATTTTCGGCTTTGAAATATTCCACTTTTTGCGTTCCTGATGAAGGTAAATCCAGGAAAGTGCTTCAGACGCATCAACGTATTTAACGTTTTGTTTTCATATTTTATCTAAATATTCCGTATCATCTTCACAAATAATACACCATGGTCTTGACGTGTCGGAACCGACGTTGTTTAGCATCTTTTTTTCGTGTTATAGTGTTCGTTTAATTGTCTTTGTATATTTCTAACCTTTACTGTTTAGACCACTTATAGTAATATCCTTTTGGCGTGGCTCGGTATTTATACATCCTACCATTGTGTTATTGTACTATGGCCATTTTTTTATAGTCTTGTCTTTCATTTTTGATTATGTGCTTTGTCTACAGAGTGTCTACATTTCATCTTGATTTTCTTTGTTGAGATAGTTGTTTGGTTTTATAATGATTAAGATTATTACACACTGTTGACTGCAGTACCCACATTTTTATCTATTACATGTATTATGTTTGTTTGTTTTGTTTACACATTGTTGTCAATATGATTGAATGTTATGCGACTGACATACAGGTTACAGGATTAGCTAGCTATAAAACCAGGTTTAATTTACCATTTTCTACATAAGGATTTGTTTGTACCAAGTCAGGAATATGGCAATTGTTTTTCATTCGTTTGATGTGTTTAGCTTTTGATTTTGCCATTTTTTAGAGTATTTTACCGTTTAGAATTATCCTAGGAGTTCGGTATTATTGTTATTTTACTTTTTACATGTTTAAGGTGTTTAAATTATTTTAAAATCCATGACTACACAGTGTGTGTTTTTCTTTATACGTTTTCACGTTTATTATGTTCGACGAATAAGTGGTATAACTGTTTTCTGATTATTTCTTGTTGAATTAATCATGAACTATCCTTGTTTAAATATTTCGGAAATTTCCAAACACACAATTCCTGACAATAAAAATTGATACATCTTATATGTTTTGAGTCTTTAGCACAACAACAAAAAAATCATTTATGACTTACAGAATCAGAATATACGTATCTGATATTACTACAACAGTTTGTTTTAATTATTTTGGATGCATAATGCTGTGCTTCGGGCCGTTTCTAGTAAATTGGAAAGTTGTAACACTAACAGTGTTGCTTATGAATTACTTAATCGGTATTCTTACTTTATACTTTCTACAAATGCAATTCTCTTTGCCATTTAAATCTAAAAAAAGTATTTTAATTGAGTGTAAAATAATGAACAGTACGAGATGTACAATGAATCAAATGACAAAAGAAAAATAATGGGGATCAAGTACACTTGTGACGTCTAGACAAAATATGTATGGATTATGTAAATCAAGTTTGCATTTATCTATTTATTATACCACTTTTCATGCTGAAGAGTTACATTGAACACACATATGTTTTTGTAGATCAGATCAACATGAATTGCAAGGTGATGTTTTTGTCTGAATTGGTGATTTTGTTCTGCCTTATTGGTCAAGGTCAGTAATGGAAACGTTTTTAAAACAAATATAACTAGTTCAATTTAACGATTTAAACACACAAAAATAGCTACAAAAAACAACAAAAAAAAAACCAGTCCAAACAGATATACAATTGAATTACAAATAACCGAGACTTCTTTTTATTTTGTGTTTCATAAAAAGTGAATACGAAATTTTCTAGTTTACGCAAAAAAATAAAACTAGTTATACAGTGTGTATATTATTTACTGGATAAGTTTATTTGTTTATTTAGATACAGTTTAATTTATTTATTACTTTGTTCCTTTATCTAGTTGTTTCTCTACTTTAAATACGTGTTGTGCTTGCAAACGTATTTTTTTTTTTAAATATTCTGACATTTTTCATTTATTAAATAATTACTTGAGGTAGTATGGGGGTATAATCGACCACTGATCGAAAATTTTTAAACTTTGCCAAAATGTAGTATATATTGTGATTTTTTCCTCAACATAAAGATAATACATTGGGTCATCTAGTTGTTTTCAAACTACATATTGTGAAACAAACGATATATAGTGTATGAATCATACAGAGATAAAGTAGCATTGCATGAATACAAAGTTAAAATAGCTCTCATAAATTTCGTAATACTGAAAGAAAAATATGGATTCACCGTAAGTTCGTTTTTTTTCTGCTATCAAATACAATTAAACAATATTCTGTATGTTCCTCTATAAATTATAAAATGTATATGAGTTACCCCTAAAAAATATGTTAGGTAAAATCATGAAATAAATCAACAATATTTTACCTTTGTGTACATTTGTCTTTCATTTCCTTTTTCAAATGCCCGTGGTTATTTTGTTGGTAGTTTGACAGCATATCTTTATTTAATCTTTAATTTTTGGGATATATGTCTACATAGGTCAAGGAGCAATTATAATTGTAATTCGATAGGTCACATTCGGTGCAAAAAGGACGGAATTGTAGTTACGACAATTGTAATATATACCTCGTCATATACGACGAATACATTACCATTGTTGTGACTACAATTCCGTTCTTTTTTCGCGTATTGTGAAGTCAATCAACTCATGAAGGCGTCTTTTAAAATTTCGAAAGGATGATTTCAACTTCAGCACTTGGAACTCTTGGTTTAATACCTTCCTAGTGAGCAACAACCCTCTATCATGAAAGGAAATGGAAGCCCCCCCCCCCCCCTGACATATTGTATCAACTGGGACGTTATACTCCATATGCAGAAGCTGCTAAAAAGTTGTTACATAGAAAAGGAAAGTTCAGAATTGGGAAGCTGCAATGATCTCTTTTGTCGTAAAGTGTGCTTTCAACCGACCATCATTGTTAATATCAAGATGTTTGTCAAGATATGAGACAAACTTAACTGTATCTGTTGTATCGTTTTATGTGTACATGATCCGATTATGGGTAATGCACAACAATTAAGATTTACAGCAAAAGGCAAAGCAGTAAATTTTATTTCTCTTTAGACATCTGCAACTTTCATTATTATGATGCATGTTTAGAAACAGCTATAACTATGTTCAGGCTATTAGATTTAAAAAAAAAAAAAATTAAATTAGGTAAATCAAATAGTGTTAGATACAGTGTCAATTAAACATCAGCCAAGCGATAAATATTCATGCAAAAGATACAAAATTACGTGCGTTTGGCATAGAAATATTTACTTTGTTCACTTTGTCATTTTCTCTTTTGTTTTCAATTGTATGTTTAAATGTTCTGATAACGGTTAGTGCACAGCTTCTAAGATTTGCAGCAAATATGAAAGCAGTTAACTTCTCAAGTCAATACTCGTCTGTTTTAATTAAACGAAAGACATATCACAATGACATAATTGACCGATGCATACATATCCCACGTATGTGAACTCGTAAAAAATATACCCTAATCGAAGAGTGCGCCTGCATATCATATAGCAAATTGAGACGGGGAACATTATAATTGAGTACAAAACAAACAAATCAGTTCACAGTTTTGAAGGAAAAAAACAGGTTATGCTGTTATGAAGCTACTAATGATTGAAAAGTTATTAATTTAAAAGTAAAAATTGACAATAATGTATTCAATCCCTTTTAATTCACATTCCAGGTCTACAATTCAAGCTTATCGTTTCAACTTATGGTAAGATTAAAGAAGTAAACTTGCAGACTAGGGCCGTCACACATCTTTTGACCGATCTGGGAAGTGAAATTAATTCTATGGATTATGATTATGAAAATGAATACATTTATTTTCCAAGATACAGTAAAAACGACATTTTAAGGTATGTCCAACTATTTTCAATTACATTTTAAAATCCGTATTATGCATTTATAAGTATATTAATATGTTTGAATGATTTTTTTTATTAATGTTCACCTTTCATTTAACATGTATATTTATGTTGTTCAAGACATTTTTCTTCTCTCAAATGCATACCAACAGCTATTAAACCTCAGTATGTAATGAGAACGACTGTTATGGTTTTAGACTGACAAGAATTAATATAGTGCATTATTTAATGTCCCCCAAAATAAACTTTGATATAAAAGCAGTTCAGTTGCTGTCCGTATACTCAAAGTCACAGTATGGCACCTCTCTACAAGTTCCAAATTGTACCTAGCACCTTTTAAATTATATATGTGTGCTAGATGTCGATAAACAAACACATATATGTAAAGAAACTTTAAATATTGACGCTTTCAAGGCGTATACCTTTTTGTAAATTTTCGTTATTTAAATGAGGGTAGGTTGGTTGTGGTGATATACAAGTAACCAAGTCTAAAAATATATGTTTGCGTTGCTTATTACTCCAGTAATCCTTTAAAGGACAAAAACATAGGCGGAAGATATATTAAACTCTCTAGTCGATGACAACCTGATAACCCCGTAGCAACATAAATAAACTACCAAAGACAAAAAAAGTATACATATCAAAACACAAATAACTATAGACTGAGGAACACGAACCTCAACAAAATGGAGATGACCATATGTGCTCCGAAAGAGTAATCAGACTCTGCCAAACATTTGACACCCGTTGTGTGTATCCTATAAAATATGCTCGTAAGATATATTAAGTGATTAAGCATCACACAACAGCGGATTTGTAATTTGGTAAGAAATTACCAAATGTATAAGACATCAGGAATGTTCATAAGCCCCGAAACTGAATCAAAATTTCGAAATTGAAATACGTTTTCATGACAAAGATAGACAATATAAAATTAACAAGATATGATATGATTGCCAATAAGACAATTCTCCAACAGATGCCAAATGACATAGAAGTTAACGACTGTAGGTCACCATATAGCCTTCAACAATTAGCAAATCATATATCGCGTATAGCACGCTATAAAAGGATCCGAAATGACAAATATAAAACAATCAAAACAAGAATCTAACGGCCTGGTTTATGAACAAAACAATAAACGAAAAACAAATATAACATACAGCAACAAACAAATTCTCCGAAAAAACAGTCTCTTGATTTGTGATAGACACCAACAAAGCGTGCTTTAAAATGTTTGCTGGCCCTTAACCCTCCCGTACACTGGTACAGTGTTGTGACAATACAACATATGAACAAACTATACAAATCAGTTGAAAATGGCTTAACTCACCAGATCGATAGAAAGCACATAAAAACCTTAACAAAAACACAAAAGACACAAAGTAGTACTCGCAGTTACTAAAACTAGTTCAACAGCAATATCAACTAATAAAATAACTTGTGTCTAAGACTAAACTATCAATCGGCATATATACAACATCAAATACATTTAGTGTAAAGACGTCATCAACTTTTAAACAAAAAAATGGCCTTGTACAATGCCAAAATATAGGCATCGATAGATTGTAAAACAGTGAATGTACATACGTGTATAACAATGATATTTAGTTCGGTTTGGCTCAGTAAACAATATCCCAGTGAACATTATAATGTGCTATCTTGTTTGTATTACAGCCTAATTTCCAAACCAATTTTTTTTTTATCTTTTAGTAATGTGTGGTAACGAAATCCTTCAATCACTAATTTACTAGTAATACACAAATTACGTTTATAAGAATCTAAACCCTCACTACAGACACGGGCATAGCGAACAAGTTGGTATATATACACCGTAACATGGTGCAAAAGGAATATCACCATTAAATAAAAAGGAAAATTTATAAATAGGAAACGAAAAATAGTCCTTTGTGAAGTAAAAAAGTGATGAGTTTCCCGTTTAGACCTGACATATCTAAATCTAGGAAAAGACGGCTATTACAATCTATTTTTGATATGTTTAAAGTGAATTCATCTTTTGTAAATTTCAGTAGTATATTAAGAAAATTCTTGCTTATCTAACGAAAAAATATGATCAAGTTACCTGTGATTGTTAACAGTACTGGAACAATATAAAAATAAGGAGATGTGGTATGATTGCAAATGAAACAACTATCCACCAAAGTTCAAATGAAGTGGTTGTAAGCAATTATAGGCAACCGTACGGCCTTCAACAATGAGAAAAACCAATACCATGTGGTCGGCTATAGAAACTGCAATGAAAAATATGAAACAATATTTCAGCTTTTTTTATTAGAGAAAACGGCTTTTTATGAGTTCCATCCGATGAATTTGCAATCAAATTATCCAACGACAATTTAACTGAATAGGAACACTTTTGTTTGATAAGGTTGTGTGGAAGTGTAGTGTTAAGAGTTGAAAAGTAAAACCTGTCAACCGAATTCAAACAACCATCAAAAGTACGTTATTTATCTAAACTACCAACATAATGTTTTACGAATAAAAAAAAATTCATTTCACTACTTCCATATAATTTAATACAAACTTCAATGATAATGTTAAGGGACTAGTTAAACATTTTAAAGGCAATAAAAGATAAGTTGTAGTACACTTATTGAAAGCCGTGATAAAACTATATTTTACGGATTGTTTGTGTTGTTCAGGTAACTAATACATAGTAGGGACTTTAAAATGGTCAGATGGGATGTTGTGATGATATGATTGTTTACTCTATGACTCTCTGTGCAGCTCAAATATCTATCTCTACAAGTAATTAGAGGTTTAGACCAAGGTTATTCCACCATTTTCTACATAAAAAATGCCTATATCAAGTCAGGAATATGACAGATGTTTTTCATTTATTTGTTGTGTGAGCTTTTGATTTTGCAATTTCATAAGAGATTTTCCGTTTTAAATTTTCCTTGCAGTTTGGTATTTTTGTTATTTTTCTTTTCATCTCAAGGTAGAAGAATTTAGAATTATTTCTTAAGACCTTCCTTTTACATGTATACGGTATACCACCACGACTTTCCTGGCTTCTTTGTCGGCCGATACGAACACAAACCGCTTCGCATGTACTTGAATTTGAAGTTTGTCGTATTCTAGAAATAAGCGTTTTATATACCCTTTTACCAGGAAGAAATGACCTTACCCCTATTTGGCAAAACTATGAACATTTTGGATCCACTATGTTCTTCAGCTTCGTAATTTGTTTTGCCTTTTTAACTTTGTTTGATTCGAGGGTTACTGACGAGTCTTTTGTAGACGAAACGCGTATCTGGCGGATATAATTTTAGTCCTGGTATCTATGATGAACATATTTATCTATTTATTTTTAAATTTATTTCAACATGTTAAATTCAAATATCCACAATATTTATACATTTATCTAAATAACAAAAATTATTAAAATACAATGAAAGAGCGCTTACGTTCTACAAATTTACTTCAGCAAAACTTTTTTTTCTTCCCTCATGAGGAAACTGCAGCTTCTGTGACATCGTGGCAGCATCGCCTAGACTGTATTCAGCCACTAAACCACTCGATCAGCTATATTAAAACATAGCTTTTGTTAATCGAGTAATGGTTTTTTTCTGTCGGCGATCTATAGGGTTGTTATATATAAATATATATATAAACACGTTTAGCGCATTTTCGGCTTTGAAATTACAATTCATTTGTTCTAGTTGAAAGGAATGTATTCCTTCATATTAGATACATACGAATAATAAGTTACATGAGTTGATGATAACAATTTGTTTTGTACTTTTCTTTTATCAGATTTCATTATCCATCAAACTATACGTACCAGACAGAAAATGTCACAATGGCAAATAACCCTATAGGTATAGCAATTGACCCGGTATACAACCATGTGTATTGGATAGAACGATATACGGGAAAGCTTTATCAGAGTAATATGGATGGGTCAAATCAATTGTTAATATTACAGGATGATCCAATGTTTGCTTTAACATTAGATGTTACTAACAGGTGTGTCTATGTCTATCCAATATATCAAAAATTATGATTTAAACAATGAAAAAAAAAACCCCAAATACTGCTACATTGTTCACACATCTCTCGGCCATGAAAGTGAACGTATAGTTTTGATTTTTTTTGAAACAACAAAACTAGGCTTATTGTGTCATCATCGTAAAAACCATACATTTTGTATCCATGTTTGACTCATCATTTGAAAATAATAGTTAAAATAGAAATGTGGTTTCTTAAAATTGCTGTCAACATTGATTTTCTTTTTAACATGATGATACATTTTTGTTATCTAGACAAGGATAAAAGTCCAAACAAACCGCGTTGTATGTTAATTATGTTACTGCTTGTACATTTGTGTCGTTTCTCTCTTTGACACAACACAAAGTATGCTCTGTGACTCGTACATGTTTGCAAAGACTTTTTTACATCTCGAAGTTTGTTTTCTAAAAAAAAGAGCACCTCGAACGAATAACAATGCGTTGAAATGTGAAATATTAAAGGAAATATCCTCCTCAAAACGATACGGCAATGCTAAAACATCGGGCAATGCAAATGAGAAAGAAAAATCAAAAGCCGAACAGATACTACATGTATGTTATCTTCTCTGTATATAGAAAAACCCAAATGTATGAACTTAATTTGGATTTGGATCGAAAAATCAAATATATATGCATTTTAAAAATGAAGTGCTACACATAGATTTGCACCTCGTATGAAAATATTTAACTAATTTGAACATTTATATAATAGGTGGGTGTATTACAGTATAATTGACACCGCAAACCACGCAATAAGGCGAGCTAGATTGAATGGGACTGAAATACAGACTTTTACAGATATTCATACACAAACAGTATCTGGTTTGAGCATAGGTATGCTACCCGATCATAACTTAAATGACCATAGCACAATAACATCATTGCGGGATGTAGAAAAACCGAACCGCGCCAAAAGTATATAATCAAAAATGGACTAAGCAGTAATGGTTAAAAATGTACAAAGAACATTAAAGTTCACAACGTCAGTACCTAGAATCTATACTTCAAGACCGTTATGTATTATTTGTGAAGTTGATACGGAAAATTCATCAACAAGGTCTTGGTATCTTTCATTTGTTTTTTAGAAAAAGGACGAGATGTTTTTTTAACATAACCCTGGTTGATCAACTTTCTGCTCAGACACGGGTAACGTTTCATTAAGTCTGAGTAGCAGCTACAAGCTCTTGAATGAGTTGGGAAATGTTTATCCCGTATGCAGGTTAGATTGATATATTGCTGTTAGGGTGCCGGGAAATTCCTAATTTCAAAACTAAAATCGTATCTTTTGTCATAGATTCTGGTACTGAGAAGACTGTTTGGGTCAAATTACAGGTATATGTCTAAAATTAAGGCTGAGAAAGCCGTGTCTGTTGTTAAGTGAATGTCTAGTTCTGAAGGATATATTATTAGAACCCAATAAAATAAACTTAATACACAAATATTACGAAATAAAAAAGCGGAATTATAATTTGATCAGTTTAATGCATACGCTATTGTCTACCTTTCCTGTTGAGTTAAAGCCGGGAGTTATATACATCTGCAGTAAAGTTTAGAATAGTTAGGTTCTAACACTTTCTGTTATTGAATGCAGAAGTTTTGTGTACGTTACACTATTAATTATGACATGTTAAGTCACAAGACTATTGTTAACATTAAGCCAACTCTATCTGAGAGCATGGAACACAAACCATAATAGATGGCGTCTTTGAGATCATCAACATATATTATTACAACTATTACATGCACAGAAAAATTATTAACTTTTAATTTATAAACATAGACAATGTTACCAGTTTAACATTTTTTGTAAATGCATGGAATAAATTATCAATAAAACAATCTTCATATTAGATTCCAACGAAGGGCACATTTATTGGATGGAGTATATAACTGGGGATTTGATGTCTTCAAATATTAATGGAACTGCCGTAACACAAGTTTTCATGACGAGTACAACCAATACAAACAGAGGCATTCATGCATATAATAGCATAATATACTGTTCAAATGGCAATCAAGTACAAAAGGTCACAGTTTCATCAGTAGTTACAGCGAATGTCATATACACAGACAAAGAACAAATTTATGGTGTATTTATTTACAATGAAAATAGTAAGTATGTTAACCGGAATCATCTTTTCTTGAAAACAAACATATATTTTTCAATACAATGGATTGTTATTTAGTTATATCATTGAAACTTTCCATTTGCTTGGAAATACTTGACACTTTGAACTTGGAACTTACAGATGCAATGTATTCTGCAATAAACATATTCTTATATAAAGATAGTATTAAATAGATTAAGATATACGTTTCCTATTTTCATGATATTAAAATGCAAACCCGCAGTTGTCTTTAAATATTTCATTATTTAATATGTCAAACGTTTTGATATATTGTTGTCTTAACACATTTATATTAATTTCTGTATCTATGTTTTTTTAATATGTTGGAGCTGCTTGATGCCACCGCTTCCACGCATATGATTATAATCAAAAGCTAGATAATGCTTTGACATATTTATGAATAATTTAATTTGCTTCAATGACAACTAATCCTGTATATATAATTGAAGAATCACCTTTGGCGATGCGTGATACTAATATTAAATATTGCAGTTCTTATAATATCAAATCAATAAATACAAATATCACACACCCTAAATAGTTTCTTGATGTTATTGTATTATTCCCTCGTCAGATTTTCAGTTCATAAATGTCAGCGAAATTTGTTTATGTGAACAAAATAGCATAAGTAGCCGATACATAATTGATACATCTGTGTAAATATCCATTTATATTGCATTAATATTAAAATTGTTTTTAGTTTTGCATGTATATTGTTCTCCTATTTGCTTTGAAGATATGTTTAGTTTTAATTTAGATATCTAGGGACATAACATCTAGTTTGACTCCAGTGACAGACATTTGTGAGTGAGATTTCTTTTTATCGGTCGTCCCACTGTATATATAACTCTGCTCAGCTCATAATACAATTGCATATCACCGCTTTGTGACGTCAAATACGTAGACCCGGCCTTAATAACTTTGACCCGGACATATCAGCGACGTCACAATTTATGAACCAACGTTGATAAGTTTGACCCGAACTTATCAAGTGATCTTCAGTTTTGCTTGCGAATCAAAGAAAACACTTGTTTCTATTGCCCAAGAGCCGAAGGCTGATGATGTATCATTCGGTATTCATGAGGTTGCAGTTGCTACTCTGATGTTGACCGAGGGCTGATAAAATATCTGATATAAAAAATGACATGTCATGATCTCTTAATCATATGCTTCAGCAATAGAGAAAAAAAAAACAGTTTAATATATTGATCGTTTTAAGTGGTTCTCAAGTAGAAGTTCAAAATGTGAAAAGTTTACGGATGTCGGACGCCAAATGTAATACATCCGATATGAAATCTTTCTATCATATGCCACAACAGAGCAGAAAAACAACAGTATGTTATATGTTTATATTGACGATAACAACAAAAATTCAATAAAACATATTAAACACTGTTCGATGTGCTCACTCGACAAAAAGCTTCATATTGTGACTCGCAGCTGATTGTCTACGATATCAATATGCAGACAACCTGCTAATCGGTACATATCATTTGATTATTATAAAGATGGACATGCCCATTTTTCATTTTTTTTACTGTTTGATAACTTTGTCAAAGCTAATACTGCATTCAGGAATTGCCTACATGTAACTATGCACTTTAAGGGAACAATAAAATAAATCGTGACCATATAATACAATGTGCGCATGCACATTTAAGAGCAAATATAAATTGATGTAGTACACATTTGTTTTTCGAATATAGAATGTACATATGTTAATAATGAAACAAGGAAATACAAAAAAATGTTAAATCTTTTTTTATTAATCAAATGTGTTTGATAACACTCAAATATATTGCAGCTTTCAATGAACAGAAAATACAGATGCGGATTGCAGTACGCCGGGATGAAATAGATAAAACAGAATTACAATAACCATAACTGTCTTTCTTATCGATCACTGTAAGTATTATTCTTTTCCTATGTGAATAAGTCCATACATAAACTATAATTTTTGTTATATTCACTTCAAATTTTCAAGAGTCTGCAAATACCATATTTTGCACTCAACCACTAAGGTCCAGCACAGATGTTATTTGACAAGACTCAACATAATCTTAGCAGTACCTACCATACGGTATAGGTTTTTCTCATTGATGAAGGCCGTACGGTTGCCTATAATTGCTTTCATCCGCTTCATTTGAACTTTGATGAATAGTTGTCCTACTGACAATCATACCACATATCCCTATGTTTATATTAACTGTAGTTGTCCTTAGTTTAGACTTTATTTAAGTCTGATTGAGTACTTGATTATCTAGGTATAGTCTGAATATGGTCTTAACAAATGCCCGGCAAATAACGACTCTTGCATTGACCAGTTTCGAATACGTCTAGACGACAAGATCAGGCGTGACCTTCTAGTCTCGACTGGTCTTGACGCGATCTTAATAAGCGCATTAATGTCAATTACATATTGATCTTACAAAATGTCAGGTTATTTGGTAGTTTCATTTATTGCTGTCAAATTTAAGGATTCGATTAATAAGCATAAAAAAGCTAGAATTTTCTGTTCAGACCAAATTTAGATAGTCCCCTATAACACTTTCTACAACTTTTACAATTTAACCTTGATTTTGTTAAAACTCTACAGATATCTCATTTTTTATTGATTTTACAAAGTGTCACGTTATTTGGTTGTTAAGTCTATTGCTGTCAAATTTAAGGAATTATTAAGTAGGGAAAAAAACCTAGACTTTTCAGTTCAGACTAAACTCAGATAATACCTTTTAAACATTTCTGTGACTTATTCAAATAAACTTGAATTTTCATAATCTCCACAGCTATCTCAATTATATATTGATCTTACAAAATGTCAGGT